ACACACACACACACACACACACACACACACACACACACACACACACATTTTGAATGTTTTCTCTGTGGCAGGCTCTGGGGACACAGCAGTGGACCCAACCCAGATCTAGCTCTTAAGGAGACTTCCAGAGGCAGTAAGCCCAGGGACAATTGCAATATGGGCTTTGGGAGAACAAAGGAGGGAGAGCTTCTCTGAGGGAGTGACTCCTGGGCAGAGACCTGACTAGGGAGTTAGCCAGGTGCAGGGATGGGAGGTGCAGAAGGGTATTCCAGACAGAGGGAACAGCATGACTGGAAGCCTAGAGGAAGGAGAGTCAGTGCGTTCAGGGAGGGCGGCAGGTTGTTCATAGGGAGGTGTTGGGCAGGAAAGCTAAGATTGCTCCCCTCTCTGCCCCAGGCTTCAGAACCAGAGTTTACCATAGAATACTTTGCCCTTAGCAAGGAGCCTGCCTCCCAAATGGGGAGAACACAACAGACACCTTTCAAGGTGAGAGAGCGCTCTCCCTTTATTCCCCCCTCCCTTCACCCCGCGTTCTGAGGTTCCTTCCAGCATAAATATTTCCATTATGGAAGGAAAGAGTCTAGAGAGAGTGCCAACATTCCATTGCTTCCAAACTAGAATGTTTAGTGTCAGGCATTTTCTGACAGATTTCACCTTTGGAAAATGAAAGGCCAATGAAAAATTAGAATTACAAATGGTCTCATTCTCCTTCTGTGTTTTCCTGAAGACCAGTTGGGTGGAAACAAACCCAGTTATTCCTTTATCACATAGAAAAGACCCAAAAAGCCCAAGCCAAGTCTTGCTTTAGGTTAGTGAATTACTTGGAGGAGAGGCCAGCCTGTTTCTAACCTGCACTATTAATTATAGGGCACTTGTGAAAAAGAATTAAGTCTGGAAATGTAGCTGGCAAGCTAACACCTAATTCTGTAAATAATCGAGAGTCAAACCATTATTTTCCTGAAAACTCGAGATTGTTCAAAGTACTTTCCTGATTAGCACCTAAATAATAAAGTAATTATGTAATTAGTAATTAATTTGTCACTTCAGGAGGTAATTTAATTTATTATCTTTTCTTTTAAGCTTGATACCAGAGGTAGTGGAGGCTGAGACTGTATTAGTTGCATTTCAAGGGGCAGGTTTGGCAAGAGGGCCTCTGTTGGAGATGAACACACATTCCGTTTCGGAAGTTGGGACTTCAGAATCCCCGTATAAGGATTTGGGATGGTTTTTGCCATCACTTTTATTGCATTAGATGTTGGATGAGGATTGATGTGCTTGAAGGTGTCCATTGTGTGTGTTTCATGTGTGATGAAGTATGCACCCTCCCGGTGCCCCTTGTGTGCCCACGCTGGGCTGAGGGTGTTAGAAATGATGGAGGAAAGTGGTATTGTCATGATCTTGCTCCTAGGAAGTTTTGTGTGTTTGAATTTGTGTTGGTCTGTAGGTGTGTGTATGTGTGTATACTAAATGCGTTTGTCCATTCAACAGATGTTTGTTGTGTGCTCTCTTACATGCCAGGAACTGTGGGAAAAGCTGGGCATGCAGTGGGATTTGCAGAAAAGATCTTTGTTCTCAGGGAGAGTCAGTGATTGTTGCTTTAAAGAAAATAAAGCGGTCCAAGGGGGTAGAGAATGCTGGAAGTGCTATCTTAGATGGGTCAACCACTTAAAGCAGAGATGGCATTTTAGCAAGGGTTTGCATGAACCAAGGGAGTGAGGTCTGGGTACAGAGAAGACAGCATATGCAAAGGCCCTGGGGTTGGGTGTTCTTGGCACATTTGAGGAAGACAAAGACAGCCAGGGTGGCTAGAGTACAGTGAAGGGGGTATGTGGTAGCAGACGAGGTTGGCAGAATGAGGGGCAGGCAGGACCAAATCTCAAAGCACTCTGACTGGTTCTCAGGGCAGTGCTGTCTGGAGAGGTGACACCCATCCCAAAGCTTCTCATGGATGCCTCAGAGGTTTCAGGGGAGATGATTATGATGAGAGTAATGGCAAAATAACCAACATTTCACACATACTTACCTGACAAGATCCCTTTCACAAACTTTATCTCACTTACTCCTCACCTCAGTCCTGGAGGGGGCCAGATTTAGGTAAAGCCCAGAGAGGCTGAGTGAAAGACTGGGGGATGACGGAACAGACTGGAGCGGGGGGCAGGTGTGCGCACGCTGTGAGAGAGCTTGCTTGTTTATTGCTCTGTCCTTAGTGCTGAGCATAGTAGCATCATAGATGCTCAGCAAATGTTTGTTTATTGGGAATTAGCTGAGTACAGTGGGAGAAGTTGAGAATTTGCACCCAGCCAGACTGACTTTGAATTTCAGGTCTCTCCTCCCCCTGTACGACTCATGGGCAGAGGATTTTACCTGTCTGCCCCTTCCTTCGTTTATCCGAGTGCCTCGCAGAGGGTTATGTATGAACACAGTGGGCATGGTGCCTGGCATGGGTGGGTGCTGCATGCAGGGCAGCAGCCTGGCTAACCGCCGTCCCCCCCCCCCCTCCCGGGTCTCTCTGCAGCTCCTCCCACCTTTACAGAAACACCCCCCCAGTACATCGAGGCCAAGGAGGGTGGCAGTGTTACCATGACCTGCACAGCTTTTGGGAACCCCAAGCCCATTGTCACCTGGCTCAAGGAGGGGACACTCCTAGGTGCTAGTGGGAAATACCAGGTAAGTGTGATTCTCCATTGGAGCTGCTGCACTTCTTCCTCCTTCCTCCCCTTCCTTTGCTTCCTCCCTCTCCTCGGCGGCCTCCCACTTCATGTGACTGGTAACACTCTGCTGAGCACGCAGCCTGGCTGGTGTCTGGTTGGAGGGAGATGAAACATGAAGTGCCTGGCTCCGTATTCCCCTAGTGCATGAGCCCCAAGTCCCTCTCCACCTGGGGCTGGCATTGGTGGGCCCCCCGGGTGGGTGCTGAGCTCCGTCTCTCCTTGGCCCCAGGTGAGTGATGGCAGCCTGACGGTGACATCGGTCAGTAGGGAGGACAGAGGTGCCTACACCTGTCGTGCATACAGCATCCAGGGAGAGGCTGTCCATACCACTCACCTGCTTGTCCAAGGTAAGAGCAGTTCCTCTCCCTTTCATGCCCTGGAACTTTTGCAGTGACTTCCAGCCCATCTGAGCTGCAGAGAGGTTTGCCCAGGGCATAGTTGGCACAGCTGGGGTGGCTGGAGAGATGGGCAGCCCACGAGGAGTGGGGTTGGGCTCCTCCCGAGTATTGTGTAGCTCACAGCCAGAGCTCCCATGGTGGCCTGCTGTGGCCATCACGTGGGATGGTGGGAGGCACCATGTTGAGTGGGTTTTGGGTTTCTCTCTCTGTCCAAATAGTGTCCTGCCATGCCTCCATCTTCCCCAGGGGAGGGGACCTCTCTCAGATTCCCACCCCATTAGTGATGGCGTCAGGAATTCAGTCCAAACCTTAGACGTTTAAACAACACTGAGGGCATTTGGCAGAGCTGGGGTCTGCCTGGTCAGCACTGGGAAATGCCAGTCCGCCCTGCCTGGGGCCCCAGAGTGCTCCAGAGGGGGCAGCATCAGGTGGCGAGGTCTCTTTGTGCTGAGCCCAGCCATCTTCTTTGCCTGCCCCCCACTACTGGAGGAACAGCGAGGGCTAGGGGTGGCTGTCTGGGCTGCCAGGGCTGCTGAGACACATGTTCTTTCTGCCTCCTTCTGACTTGGAGTGTTGAGTGGCAGCGGGGGCCAGAGGTCCCTCTGCAGCTTGGAGAAGAGCTGCCCTCTCAGCAGAGAGCCAGGGGGCAGCTGTGGCCTGTCTGGAAAGCCAGTGCCAGGGAGAGCTGGGATTTCACCCGCTGGTGACTCTGCTTGCCCCCTGCCTCCTCGCTCCCAATCTGCCCTCCAGACCTTTGGCTGATAAGCAGCACAAGCCCCTTAACTCCTTCAGAGGCCAGATTATTCCTTGCTCTGGATTGAAGAGAGTGGCCTCTGTCCCTCCTGCTTGTGCCCTGCTTGGATGGGCAGGAAGGGGTGTGTGTGTGGGGGGGCGTCAGATGGTTGGTTTGGGGAGCCAGGATTTATAGAGGCCGTGTGTGCATAGAGACGGGGTGCAGGTATACACCAAGAAGGGTGTCTGTAGCGGTCTCCCAGGGCTGGGGCACACGGTGGCCACATGCCAGGACCTTTTGCATCTCTGGGACTTGTAAGGAGAATAAGAAGCTGAGCACTGGCAGCAGCTGGAAGCATCTCTGTGACAGGTGCCCAGGGTATGCTGCTCCCTCGTGGGCCAGTGCTGCCCCCCAGCTCCCTCCCAGAGTTCTGGGCACCCCTTCCCGAGGTGTCTCAGACCTTCCTGGGAGGCCCCCTGAGCTGTCGCTCTCCCCTCCCGCACCAGGTAAGGTCATGTTTATTTCCTCTTTCCCCAGGGCCTCCCTTCATAGTTTCCCCTCCTGAGAACATCACTGTCAACATATCCCAGGACGCTCTGCTCACCTGCCGGGCAGAGGCGTATCCCGGCAACCTCACCTACACCTGGTATTGGCAGGATGAGAACGTCTACTTCCAGAAGTGAGCATACTGCCCTGCCCTCTCGGGGGGGGTCCCCAGCCACCAGGCCTCCCAGGGGCAAGGCTTTGAGCAGGGGCTGCCGCAGGCCGCCCTTGGCCCCTGGGAGCTTGCAAGAGGGGTGGCTCAGCCTGTCCCACGTGCAAGGCTGGTGTCTGCACACAGCAGGCTTGAGAGGAGCCAGGAATGTGAGGAAGTCCCTCCTTGCCTCATTCGCGGGGTGAGGGGACTCCTTGCTGCCTTGCTCTGCTGTCTCATGGAAGACCCTCTTCCCTACGTGCCAACCCCCCGCCCCTCCTTATCTCCTTGTGTGATTGCAGCGACCTGAAGTTGAGAGTGCGGATCTTGATTGATGGGACCCTGATCATCTTCCGGGTGAAGCCAGAGGATGCGGGGAAGTACACCTGCGTCCCGAGCAACAGCCTGGGGCGCTCCCCCTCTGCCTCAGCCTACTTAACTGTGCAGTGTGAGTAGGAGCGAGGGAGAGCCACACAAGGTGGGGGTTCCAGAAGATGCAGGCCTCATTAGCCAGACTGGAGGCTAGAGGACAGCAAGAGACTGAGGGTCATTTGAGGGAATGTGGGCAGAGGAATGACAGAAAGCAGGGACAGCCCAACAGGAGGCCAAGACCTGGACTGGTCAGTTGAAGTGAAGCTAGCACTTGCTGGGCATCTCCTACGGGCCAGGCATCGCTCCACGTGTTAGCTGATTCATTCCGTCAGCCAAGCTTAGGTTGGATTCAAGGATCGGCAGACCTTCTGAGCAGTTGTCCTTGCACTGAATGGTAGCCAGCACCTCTCTCTGGACCATGAACAAGATGCTCTCTGGTGCTTTTTTTTCCTCCGGTATACGAGGGAAGGCAGGTGAAACTGATGCAGGGTTAGATTTCCTGCCAGCTCTGTGCCTTCCCCCACTGTGGACGGGTGTGTGGGGTGAGGGGGACAGAGCCCTCTTCTGGGGTGACTTGATCTCGTTCTGCCAACACCTGGCTCCCTCCTGGCTTTCTCCTTGCTCTTCTCTTGGGCTGCCAGAGATCCAAATGGATGAGCTGCTCCTCGTGGCAGAACAGCCGAGGCCTTTTGTGCAAGCACAATAATTCAGTTTGCTAATCTTGAATCCATCAGCATAGTCAATGCTTTCCCACCCCCTGGCAAGCTGATCATCGTGAGAAAGAGAGAGAAGGATGAGTAATGAGGATTAATTTCTTCCTTTTGATTTGTGGATGGCCCTGTCATTCAGACAACAAAGGTGCTGCGTTGTTACCATAGGTGACAGGTGAGGGCTGGTGTGGGAGAGCCACTCCCCCAGCAAGGGCATGCAGCGGCAGGGTGAGAAGGTGAACAGTCTGGAGACTCCTGGGTCAGCATTTGAGCTGAGAACAAGCAGGAGAACAGTCGGTGACCCCGGGAGGTGGGGCTGGTCTCCGAAGCCACACTGCAGAGCTGGGTGTTTGCACTTGTCTCCTGTTGAATGGGCCTTGGGGTGTTGGAGCCAGGCTGGACCTTTGAGCCCTGCTCAGCTGCTAACCTCACATTCTCATCGTTTTCTTCTCGATGCAGTGACTTTGCCAGCAGGGACAAAGGCAACACTTCACCATTCCCACTGTCATCAACTTTAAAGGGCTTTCAGCACGCTACATTAGGAGTCCCGAGTTTTTAAGGGCTATGAGGCCCAAGAAAAGCGATGTGATGTGACCCAGAACATCAGGCCTGTCCCACCCAGACCTGCAGTAGGAAAAAGCCAGCCAAGAAGCTATTTGCACGTGACTTAGCTTGTGCCCCAACCTGTGCTGGATGTGAAGGGGCCTGGGGAAGGGAAAAGTCCACTTGGAGTAGCATCTTGTCTGGTTATGTCACTTGGGCAAAAAGGTGGCAGTGGCAGAGGGAGAGAGCCAGCAAGGGTGGTCTTCAGAAGGATGATGAATCTAACCAGGAGTAAGCCCTGCATCCGTGAAGCCGTGGGCCATTTTTCTGCCTAGAGGGGTGTGTGGTTTCCCCGTCCCTCCCCAGTGCCATCACCCATTCCCGCTTGTCCTTTTTTACCTCCTTGCCTTCAAAGAGAATCCGGGGGGTGAGATTTCCAGGTGGGTGAGACAAGGATCTTTATTTCTGCTAAAAAGCAGTGTTCAGAGTATTTCCCATTCATAAACCTTTGAAAATCTTGGAGAAAAAAAAAAAAACTCTACATACAAAAGTAGGAAGCTATGTCTAAATATATAACTCGGCCTGGTATTTATGTAATGCTGTTCTCTGAAGAGCTCCAAATGCTTAAAAGATACCAGCTCATTCATCCTCACTGCCTCACTGGAAGTTCTGGACCTTTCTCCTTGGTAGCCCTCAGGGGAAATTGGGGGAATCGAAAGTTGATGAGTCACCCACATCACAGGATGTGCCGCTCTTGCTGTTCTCCTGAGAACCTTTCATCCGTTCTGTGGCCAAGGTTTATTCTGCATTCCAACTGCACAGAGGGGAAACTGAGGCTCAGGGGGGACTGGGCAACTAGCACAATAGAGAGGAGAGAAAAGAACCACCGGTGGTCATGCCTCTGAACACATTATGCATAGAACTGACATTCTTCTTTTGGCTTAGGATGTGGCCCGAGAGCTGCTTGGTGTCCCAGAGAGATTTGGGATAAGGAGCAATTGGTGGAGGGTGTGGTCAAACGTTGACTTTGAGTCTGGAGTCTAGGGGCTGGAGATATGGACGTTGAGAGTCCTTGTTCTGCAGTTCAGTCCATGCGTAGAAGCATTTGAGGAGTGTTATGGGTCGGAGCAGACTAGAACATGCCTTTGTTCTGAAGAATGCAGTCAGCTGGACAGGCAAAAGCCACCTGCAGCCTGCACTGCATGGGGGTGGCCTGGTGTGGACTCTGGGCTTTGTCCGTCTTGTTCCTCGTGGTGGCCCCGGCATCTGGCACTGTTGTGAGCCCTGAGGACGCATGGGTGGGTGGGTGTGAATGGCAGTTCCTTGGAGATGGGCTATCTGTATGAGACCCCGGGGGTGTGTGAGGAGTCTTGGCCCCCTGCCCAGATTTCTCACTCCTTGTCTTTCCTCATGCCTTTCTTCTCTCTTACCCCACATGACCCCTCTGCAGACCCAGCCCGTGTCCTCAACATGCCCCCTGTCATCTACGTGCCCGTGGGAATTCACGGCTATATCCGATGCCCTGTGGATGCAGAGCCACCGGCCACCGTGGTCAAATGGAACAAGGATGGCCGCCCCCTGCAGGTCGAGAAGGTGCTAGAGAGATGCATGTGGGGGTCACAGTGAGACACACTCCTGCCGCTGAGGTACTGCCTCTGAGGGTCTGGTTCCCTGCCAGGACTCCTCCACTCCCCACCAGAAAACTCTAGGAACCCAGAACTGCTTCCTGTGGGGGTCTGCCGTCTGGTAGAGCTTGAGCCATTCTCCCAGGGCACTTAGACAGCCCCTGCCCCAGACTAGCTGGGGCTCTGCCCAGGCCTGCCAGCTCAGGGCTGGCCTGGCGGGGGCCGGGACCAAGCTTCTGCCCCCTGACCATTGCTCCCTGCTCTGCTGTCTGTGCTCTGGCAGAACCTGGGTTGGACCTTGATGGAGGATGGCTCCATTCGGATTGAGGAGGCCACAGAGGAGGCTCTTGGCACTTACACCTGTGTGCCTTACAACACCTTGGGGACCATGGGCCAGTCTGCTCCCGCACGGCTTGTCCTGAAGGTGAGGCCTGGGGCTGAGAGTGGCCCCCGTGGGAGTGGGTACCTGAAACGCTCGGCGTCATGGCCTTGTTGTGCTCTCCCTAGGACCCCCCGTATTTTACGGTGCTACCAGGCTGGGAATATAGGCAGGAGGCCGGCCGGGAGCTGCTCATTCCCTGCGCTGCTGCAGGGGACCCTTTCCCTGTCATCACGTGGAAAAAGGTACCTCTGGGTTCTGGAGCTCCTGGGAAGTGTGGCAGATGGGCAAGACCTATAGTGGCTCTGTTCTAACAGGTCCAAGTGCTGAGTAGCGGGGCTGCCTTCTAGAGTGATGGGTCCTCTGGAGGAGGGATGGTGGGGGGGTGCAGGCCAAGTGTGTGGGTTCTGCTCTCTTCCTGTTCTCGGACTTCTGACATGTTGGTGGCTTCTCTTCTTCCCTGTCGACCTGGCTCCTCCCCTGCCACCCCGCTCCTGCCTTCCTCTTTGCCTCCTTGTTTGGCCAAGGTAGGGAAGCCCAGCAGAAGCAAGCACAATGCCCTGCCCAGTGGGAGTCTCCAGTTTCGAGCCCTGAGTAAGGACGACCACGGGGAGTGGGAGTGCATCGCCACCAACGTGGTCACCAGCATCACTGCCAGTACCCACCTGACCGTCATCGGTACGGGGGCTGTGGGCAGGAGGGCTGTGCTCTGGGTGCTGGGCACTGTCCACCCTTTCTGGGCATCTTTCCTGAATCAGCCCACCCCTGAGCCTGGAGCCTGCCGCGTGTAGCCTTAGCCCTCTATAGACTCGGGGTAAGGGAAGGTGACACGGGGCCTGTCCCAGGAGATCTTTTTCTGGCAGAATGTACCCAGCAACACTGCCATGCAGAAATGGGACAGGTGTGTGGGCAGGGGCAACTGCTCAGAGGTCTGTGTCTAGGGCCTGGAAGGGGAGCTGGAAGAACGGAATGAGGGGGACCTGGGAGGGGACCTGTGCACTTAGCTCCATAGGCTGGGCTGGGCATGGAGATTATTCCTGGCGTTCCCATTTCCTGGGGTGCCAGGCATTATGTTTCCACTTCTTCTGCCTGAGGTGTGTGTCTCCAAGACCTCGGCTTGTACCATTGCAGCCTGCCCCTCTGGGGACTGACAGCCAGTCGTAACAGTGGCCAACACTTTGAGCATTTACCACCAGTTTTAGGCTCTGTACCAAGTGGTGCCCCATCATTTATAACCTGTGAGACGAGAGCTGGTAAGTCCCCAGTGTACATCCGTTTGAATCCAAGGCTGGCGTGGATCGCACACCTCACTGAGCGTTGCATCGCTAATGAGTGCTGGGTCCAGGACCCGAACCCAAGTTGAAGTTCTTAACAGTTGTGTTGTGCTGCCTCTCACTTTGATGTTCGGGTGGAATATGGCTGTCTCATGAGACCAGAGAACTTGACAGGACAGGGGCTTTTTGGCTTTGCCTGTGACCTTAAGGGAGAGTGTCTCTGTGTTTGCCAGGTGAGCACAGGACTTTAGCCTGGGGTGACGAAGGTTCTGGTTTCCCTTTGGCCATATTCCTGATGCTCATGCCATGTCTTGCTAGAAGGACTAGATGGCACAGGGGGATGGGTTTCCTTCTGCAGCCCTACTGCTCAGGGTGTCCGCTCCTCAGAGCATCCCTGACCCCTGAGCGCTGCGCTTGGGGCACTGCATTTTGCTACTGTGCAGTGCCACTGTGGGTGCCCAGCTCACTGGACCCAGTTCATTTCAGTCTGAGAGGACTTCACTTGGTCTCCAGGCACCAGCCCCCATGCCCCGGGCAGTGTCCGGGTCCAGGTCTCCATGACAACTGCCAACGTGTCCTGGGAGCCAGGCTATGATGGAGGATTCGAGCAGACATTCTCAGTTTGGTACGGACCTCTGTGAGTCACCCCCGCATGCTTTGCTCTCTGCTTCTCCCTCCCCCAACCCCCGACTTCAGTCAGTCCCTGGGATGGGTCGACATTATGAGAAGGATATGGTTCTTCGCCTGCTAGACCTCCAGGCAGTGAGGTGTGTTGACGCAGTGACTTGGTCTTATGGGGGAGGGGTGTGTCTGTCTGAGGGATTCCGCGCGTTCTGCGTTCCCAGCCTGGAAGGTTTGGGATGCCAGTTTAGGTTGTTTCCTGAAGTGACCATCGCCCTCTGCTGCTCTTTCCCCAGCTTATCTCACGACCCCTTTTTGTGTCCTTGGTTCATGCTTCTTTTAGTTCCCTCTGTCCTCTGGAGTCTGGAAGAGACTCCTAATCTTCAAGGGCATTGTGAAACAGCCCAGCCAGAAGCGTAGAATCTAATTTTTATTCTGTCGCTTCCCCAGTGGTTCCAGAAACCGATTTGAAGTGGTGCTTGCCTTCTGGCCTTGTCTTCAGCATCTCTATTTTCTCTAGGACCCTGTGTCTCTATTGTGTTTATATCTCTGCTGTTAATTTGGCCAGATGTAGTGATTGGAGATCTTTGCCTAAGCCTTGGGGTGGGTGAGGGATCTCAAAGATGCACAAATCAGGCTGAGGTCAGGAGGCACGGAAAAGATGGAGAGAAGAGCCATAGCTGACCTCCTTCCCGTTCCCCAAAGATTTCTCTTCCCACACATTCCTATCCTGAGCCAGGAACTGGCCACCTGCAGCGTGGGACATCTTTGAGCAGGAAGGATGAGTCCTCCCACTTCCTCCTTTTCAGACCTGCCTCATCTGAGTGTATTCCCAATCAGGCTCAGCCAGAGCCTGGGAAGGAGGAAACATCCCTGCAGAGGACAGCTCATGGAGATTCAGGGAGAGCCCTTGATACACTTCTCAACAGCAAGGGAGGTTGAGAGGAAGCTGCCCTCTTTCCCATCATGGTGATTTGTGGATATGTCCTGAATATCCTAGGGGTTTTGAGTTCTGGATAGGCACACTGGACCTAGGTGGTGAGCGTGGGGAGCTCTCTGAGTTGCAACCAGAACATCCTCCAATCCTTATCTCTGGTCCTCCGGAGGTTGGGGAGGGGGCCTGAAGTAAGGGGGAGGGGGTTGCTCCTGACAACTCTGTCAGGTGGCCACTGCAAGAATCATGGTGCTGCCAGGTGGCTGTGTGTCCAGGGAAGGACGTTTGGCATGGCCAAGCCATCTTTGGGGACGTCCAGGTGGCAGGTCTGGGCATAGATTGGGGTTTCCCTCACTGCTTGCGGTCCTGCTCCACGCTGCTGCTCATTTGCACCGCTTTATTACACTTTGCTCACTTGCTTTGGTGCCCGGGGCCGGGATGGGGGGGGTATGGGTGGTTGCAAAGTTTGGGGAGTCCTCCTTCCCTCCTCTCGTTCTGATTGCCTCTGACTCTCCCAGTACTGACTCAGACACTTGGCACTAGCTTCTTTTTTGCTGTGCTTTCTGCTGCCACAGCTCAAACTCCTCTAAGCATTCATGTTAGTGAGCCTTTAAACATAGAGGGAACCCGGTGGGCGGGCGTCCGCTAAGTTGTAGCTCAGAGCTGCAAGAAAGCTGCCCAGGGTCTCAATCCCATAGGATGATGTCTCCTCCCCGTGGTGATGCCGGGGCACTGCACCTGTAGACGGCCGGCTTCATTGCCAGGGGAGAGTTAAGTGGGCGGTATAGAACAAGGCCTAACCTTCACTCCTAGTTCCCGTGTTGTCCACACACAGCGTGACCTTCCCCTTGATGGTGAGTTCTAACCGTTAAGGCCTTAAGGATCCTGGTCCTCACTGTGGGGAAACCCCTGGTTATTTTTGTCATACACCCTAGACTTCCTCAGATGACTCAAAGCTGGTTGGACTGAGTGAACCCCCTGGGTTACTTGATGCCCCACTTTTGGCTGTCCCTAGGAGGGTGCGCAGCTGAGGTCACCTGGGTTCTTCCCCTAGTCTGCCGTTGCTGAGCTGCTCATCCTCACTTTCCCACAATGGCACCTGCCTTGTTCCTCATGTCCTGACTTCTCTCAAGGCAGAGCCCCTCTCAGCGTTGTGACCAGGGTGAGATTCTCCCAAAATGCACTTGGTAGTTTGACCAGGATCTTGAATGTCACTTATACTTAGGGGCTCCTCTTAGCAGAGGAGGTACCAGCAGTGGCCGGCGACCTGGCACAGCCAAAGTTGGGTATTTCCCACCTTTGGTCATTACCTCTTTCTGTCCCAAAGCCTGGGAAGGCCAGGTCTGCCCACCGCCACCTCCTTGAGGACCTTGCATGCACTCTCCTGTCTCCAGTGTAACCCACCCCACCCCCTTGTCCCCGATCCTCTCTCTTTCTTTTGGCCAGGATGAAGCGGGCACAGTTTGGGCCCCACGACTGGCTGTCTTTGCCAGTGCCACCGGGACCCAGCTGGTTGCTAGTGGACGCCCTGGAGCCTGAGACAGCATACCAGTTCAGCGTCCTGGCCCAGAACAAGCTGGGAACGAGCGCCTTCAGTGAGGTGGTCACTGTGAACACTTTAGGTGAGGGCCCCAGGCTGGGATGTCTTGAGGATATTTCCTGGAGGAGCTGAGTAAAGACAATAATGGTGGTGGTGATGGTCCTCGCAGCTAACTTCACTGCTCACTATGTGCCAGGCACCTTCCTACGTGCTTTACGTAATTATGTCATTCGCTCTCCCAGGAAGGACTTGTCATACTGTTCTGTGGGGTTTGCCTGGACCCTAGTGCCTTGTCCCACGTCAGAACACTTTGGGCCAGATTCCTGTTAAGGAGGAGGCTTAGTATTTATCCCTCCTTGCCAAGCCACATGTTTGCATCTTCCCGTGGCTTCACAGGGCAGGCTGGGAATCCTGCCTCCTGTGCTCTTACCAATTCTTTCCTCTGGCCCATGGCCTCGTCTGGTGGTGGGCGTGTGGCCAGTGCTCCCCGTCGAATCTTCTAGTCATGCCAACTCTTCCTTCCTGGACCCAGTGGCTCACTCCATCCCACCCCAAGAGCAGCTGTGAACAAGTGGCACCCCTCCAGCCTGTTCCTGGATCCTTTACTGCCACCAAGGGGTGCAGCAGTGGTGGGATGCTTACCCCTGCTCTAGAACTTTCCTCCTGGTCCTTGTTTCCCACCTGGGCCAAGAAGGCAATTGAGAGCAGAAGTGAGCTATGGGAAGACATTCCTACTTCCTTAGAAGAGAACATAAGATACATTTTGTAATATCTTTTTTTTTTTAAGATTTTATTTATTTATTTGACAGAGAGAGATAGTGAGAGCAGGAACACAAGCAGGGGGAGTGGGAGAGGGAGAAGCAGGCTTCCTGAGGAGCAGGGAGCCCGATGCGGGGCTCGATCCCAGGACCCTGGGATCATGACCTGAGCCGAAGGCAGACACTTAACGACTGAGCCACCCAGGCGCCCCGCATCTATGTTTTTAGAAGTGCTCAGAAAGTAGGATCATGTAGTCCACTTCCCTTGGGTGAGGAGGGCTCTTTTATGTGACAGTCTTGTCCCTGAAATGACTCATGCAAGGGAACGTGACACATTCTGAGGGACACATAATGAGCCAGAAGACAGCACGTAGGGAGGTGAGGGAGCAGTGACCTCAGCACCGCCATGCCCCTTCTCTCTCTCTTCCCTCTGTGCTGCAGCATTCCCTATCACAACTCCAGAACCCCTGGTGCTGGTTACCCCACCAAGGTGCCTCACAGCCAACCGGACCCAGCAGGGTGTGCTCCTGTCTTGGCTCCCCCCTGCCAATCACAGCTTTCCCATTGACCGCTACATCATGGAATACCGTGTCGGGGAACACTGGGAGATCTTAGATAGTGCCATCCCAGGCACTGATGGAGAATTCTTTGCCAAGGATCTGTCACAGGTGAGGTGCCCAGCTCTTCCCTGCTGCTGTTCCCAAATTCTGAAAGTGACATTGACTCGCTGGAGTCACCGGAAGCTTTGAGTGACCCAAGTCAGGTGTACGAGGCCCAGCCATGTACTGTCCCCTCCCACACCAACTCCTTTATTCTCAGATCTGCTACCAAAGTCTGGGATCCTCAGGTCATGGCAACTGAGGGCAGGTGAGGGGCCCCGAATGTGTAACTAGAGAGTGACCTCAGCTTTCTGCTAGGAATCTAACTTTGGGCAGAGGATTTCCGAGAAGGATAGTCTCCTCGCTTTGCCCAGGGAAGGACCCCTGCTTTAACAATTTAGACTCCCTGGAGGAAGGTACATTATTTTTTTTTTCCCAGCTGACCCCCTCTAAACTTTGATGTCTCTCTAGCTGGAGAGAGGAAGCAGTTTATTTCATGGATACAGACAAGCTCATCTATCTTTCTGTCTTCCTTCCCTGGACACTCATTTAGTGGTAGAACTGGCTCATGGGGGCTCCTAAGAGAGAGTCCGTGTTGTGCGTCTCTCTTTCCAACTCTGCTTTCAGTGACCTCACAGTTGTAGATTGAAATCTGCCATGGTGGGAGTATTTTTACCATGGAAATTGGCGAATGCTACAAATCAGGACTTTTTTTTTTTAAACTGAGAGCTGGTTGTTCGTCACTTCCAGTATGCCACTGCTTTGGGTACCCTGTTCCATGAGAGATCATTGCAGGGCAGGTGGGGGAGGGTCAGTAGTGGGTCAGTGGCTGTCTCAGGTCTGTAGGCTGACAGGGTCTTGTCCTGGGGGCTGTAGGACACCTGGTACGAATTCCGGGTTCTGGCCGTCATGCAGGATCTGATCAGCGAGCCCAGCAACATCGCCGGCGTCTCCAGCACAGGTACTTGGGCTGGTGGGGGGGGGGGTCTGTTACAGCTGTAGGACGTAAGAGCCATGTAGATGTCCTTTGCGAGATAGCTAATATGGGGAGGGAGGCTGAAATGGAAACGAGAGCTCTGGTGGAAACTGAGTCACCGCATTTCTTAAGGCCCTCCAACCCATCCTTCTGCTTCCATGATGGACAGGATTTCTCCAGCTAAAGAGCTGCATTGATGACACTTTCTATAAGATAGCCACAGGGAGAAATGTAGCTCATCTTCTCATGATGGTAGTCAAAAAGAACTTGGTTTACGTTCTTTTGCTATAAAATCCCTGTTTCCTCCAGTGCCGTCCTCTGTAATGGACTGGGGCGGTGAATTGGAGAGACAACAGGTCAGCACATATTTGTTGAAGGCCTATTATAAGACTGCTTTATAATTATGGTGGTTTTATTTGGAAAATTGCTGTTTGGTGTTGTTTCCTCCGCTCCTTCGTCTCCCTAGATTTCTTTTCAGGCTAAATAAAGCCAACTCCCTAGCATTTTCCCCATTTATCTTCCTTTCTCTTGGCCCTGGTCCCATTTCTACACATCTTTCTCTAGCTACAGTTCCTGAGACAGCAGAGCCCCTCCCTCGCCCAGTGAAGTGGCTCCCTTGGTATGGGAAGAGGCTTTTGCTTAGTGATTAAGCAATGGCACCATTTCTGTGGGCACTGCTCACACGAGGACCTGCGGGACCAGTTGGCAAGGAGCTTGGCCGAGAAGCTCATGCAGCAGGACTCACAGAGCTATAGAAGCACCAGGGCAGGCAGACTTGGGGAGGGACAGGGGAGAACCCAAGTGGCACCAGAGCACTGGGGGCCGTGGGGTGTGACTTTTGCCTCATGTTAAACACCATGGCACCATGGACCTTTTCTTCTTTTCTGCCTTCCTTCTTTTTCTTTCTTTCTTTCTTTCTTTCTTTCTTTCTTTCTTTCTTTCTTTCTTTCTTTCTTTCTTTCTTTTCTTTCTTTCTTTTCGTTTCTTTTCTTTTCTTTTCTTTTCTTTTCTTTTTTTTTTTTTGCTACAAAGGTACCCTGTCTTGGCTTCCCTCCAGGGAGGGGACTCAGAGAGGAGGAGCAGGGAACAGAGCTTGAAGCCAAGGCCAGAATAGAAGACTTGAGGGTTTTCATCAGTGAACTGTTCTGTGTTCAGTGGCTTTATGTCTGGCACCTGAAAGGAAGCCCACATACCGGGAAGACTCCCGTGGGTGAATGAAGGCACAGTGCCCTCAGCACCCCCGTCTCTGAGCCCCCCATTCCCAAAGGCTCTAGCATTCCATTTGCCCACTCAACTCATCAGCACGATTTGGGTTATTTTCATCCATTGTTCTTTTCAGCAGAACGATGGGCTCTGGCCAAATGTATCAGAATCCACAGAATCTAAAGTGTGGCACTTTCTATTATAACTGACTTTGAAGTGGGGTACAGTAGATGGGGGTCTAGTCCTGGCTCCATCACTAACAAGCTGTATGGATTTGGGCACAAAGTGAAACTCACTTCTTTACCTGTAAAATGAAATTGGACCTGTGTTGAATGTCCCTGCTGGCTCCAGCATTCTGAACCCGAAACGACCAGGATGTGCTCACCCTCCCTGTAGAAATTGCTCAGCTGTGCTGTCATGACTTAGAGATGGATGGATCTGAATTCTGTAGTCACAACCTCTTCTCCCTGCTGTAGTATTTTACCCTCAAGGTGCCTCCACAGTAAGTTCTCATTTTGTCGAGATGGCATGGCAGAAGGCAGCAAATCCTAACAGGAGGCCAGAGGTACGGTGTCATGGTGCAGGCACTGATAGGCAATATTTATGTCAGCAAGTCGCTCAAACTCTGCCAGCGACACTTTCTTTACCTTAGAGAATGAGAGCGATGGCATGTGCTCTGTTGGCCTCATGTGAGGGTGTGTGGTAGTATGCATGAGAACCCTTTGCAAAAAGCACTAGCCAGGTAGACATCATTACCGAAATTATTACCGCTATGGGGTAAGACATAGATGCGATTCCTTCTCTCTGAGCTCTGTAGCGATCACTTGACTTCCGTAAACTAGTCTCTCTTCAAGTGCTAGAGTTGAGCATGGAGCCTGAGCCTTAACATTATCTGTTCTGCAGAGCTAGGGAAGAGTGCTGGGGGGCTAGGTGTCAGAGTAGGTGGGGGCTTTTACAGGAGCAAGGGGAGGAATCATGCATGCTCCTTGCACCGCCCTGCAGACATCTTCCCACAGCCGGACCTGACTGATGACGGGCTAGCTCGGCCTGTGTTGGCTGGAATCGTAGCTACCATCTGCTTCCTGGCAGCTGCCGTCCTGTTCAGCACCCTGGCCGCCTGCTTTGTCAACAAGCAGCGCAAGCGTAAGCTCAAGCGCAAAAAAGGTGGGTGTCTGCCCCCACCGCCCTGCTCTACCTGGCCCAGTTTCAAATGCTCCCCATTGGAAGAGATGGCCCACGTTTAGCAGAGGCCCCCTTGAAAATAGGGAAATGGGGTCTTATGGGTAGGACTGTCAGCGGGCCTTGGTCTAGAAGAGGGAGTAAGGAAGAAGGATGCTGGGGAAGGTGTGATGGGGCCAGAATGTGAGAGAAGGCAGGTCTGTGGTGGTGGGCATGGGACTCGGGACTGGGCCCAAAGATACCTAACCTTGGAAGGAGCTCCTCCCCTCTGTGGCTTTGCTCTGGTCCCTGTGGGCACGCGAGACGAGTTTTGTGTCCCTGGCCTCAGTTGGCTCTTCTCCCCGTCTTCTTCCTTCCAGATCCTCCACTCTCCATCACTCACTGCAGAAAGAGCCTAGAGTCTCCGTAAGTGCCTCCGCTGTTTTGCTGTGTGGACAGAGGGTGGAGGGTGGACACAGGCAGGTGGTGTGCCCCGCTCGGCCCCCAGACCAGTATCTCTAAAGTGTTGGCTGCCCGCTGATCTGCATGGTATTTTTAAGTTGCACAGAGGGGGCAGTACTGTAGACAGTGAAGTTAGAGGTGCAGCTGGACAGAGCGGGGCAGACAGGAAGGGCAGGGCGGGATGAAAGGTGGAAATGTGGGTCTTCATTCAAAAAACGGCCGGCACGCATCTAGACAGTGGAGCGTTGGCCAAAGTATTTCACGCCAAAATGTGCAGCCCATCTGCACCCCTTTTTTTGAGTATTATCTTAGGTGTTTGTGGTTGTTCGTTAAGAGGAGAAAAAGAAGAGGAGGAGCAGATGTCCCCTACCTCACACTCCTGCTCCCTCACTCACCCCCACAGCTTGTCATCTGGCAAGGTGAGCCCCGAGAGCATCCGCACGCTCCGGGCTCCTTCGGAGTCCTCCGATGACCAAGGCCAGCCAGCGGCCAAGAGGATGCTGAGTCCCACCCGGGAGAAGGAGCTGTCGTTGTACAAGAAGACCAAGAGGGCCATCAGTAGCAAGAAGTACAGCGTGGCCAAGGCTGAGGCGGAGGCCGAGGCCACGACACCCATTGAGCTCATCAGCAGAGGCCCTGACGGCCGCTTCGTGATGGATCCCTCTGAGATGGAGCCCTCGATGAAGAGCAGGCGCATCGAGGGCTTTCCCTTTGCTGAGGAGACGGACATGTACCCCGAGTTCCGCCAGTCAGACGAGGAGAACGAGGACCCGCTGGTGCCCACATCTGTGGCTGCCCTGAAGTCCCAGCTGACCCCTCTGTCATCTAGCCAGGAGTCCTACCTGCCACCACCAGCATATAGCCCTCGGTTCCAGCCCCGTGGGCTGGAGGGCCCCGGCGGCCTGGAAGGTCGGCTCCAGGCCACGGGCCAGGCCAGACCTCCCGCCCCCCGGCCCTTCCACCAGGGCCAGTATTATGGGTACCTCAGCAGCAGCAGCCCTGGGGAGGTGGAGCCGCCACCCTTCTACATGCCAGAAGTGGGCAGCCCCTTGAGCTCGGTCATGTCCTCCCCACCCCTGCACACTGAGGGGCCTTTCGGCCACCCCACCATTCCTGAGGAGAACGGAGAGAACGCTTCTAACAGCACGCTGCCCTTGACTCAGACACCCACAGGAGGGCGCTCCCCTGAGCCCTGGGGCCGGCCAGAATTCCCCTTTGGGGGACTGGAAACCCCGGCCATGATGTTTCCCCACCAGCTGCACCCCTGTGATGTAGCGGAGAGTCTGCAGCCCAAGGCCTGCCTCCCCCGAGGACTGCCCCCCACCTCCCTGCAGGTGCCCGCGGCCTACCCGGGCATCCTGTCTCTGGAGGCACCAAAGGGTTGGGCAGGCAAGTCGCCGGGCAGAGGCCCCGTCCCAGTGCCCACCTCCGCTAAGTGGCAGGACAGACCTATGCAACCTCTGGTGAGCCAAGGGCAGCTAAGACATACCAGCCAAGGTATGGGCATACCCGTGTTGCCTTACCCCGAGCCGGCCGAGCCGGGGGGGCACAGCGGCCCCAGCACATTTGGCCTGGACACCCGGTGGTACGAGCCCCAGCCCCGGCCCCGGCCCAGCCCCCGGCAGGCCAGGCGCGCCGAGCCCAGTTTACATCAAGTGGTGCTACAGCCCTCCCGGCTCTCGCCTCTGACCCAAAGCCCCCTCAGCTCCCGCACCGGCTCTCCTGAGCTTGCCGCCCGGGCCCGGCCTCGCCCGGGCCTCCTGCAGCAGGCGGAGATGTCGGAGATCACCCTGCAGCCACCGGCCGCTGTCAGCTTCTCTCGCAAGTCCACGCCATCCACGGGCTCCCCTTCCCAGAGCAGCCGCAGCGGGAGCCCCAGCTACCGGCCCACCATGGGCTTCACCACGCTGGCCACAGGCTACCCCTCCCCTCCGCCGGGCCCTGCAGGGCCTGCGGACAACCTGGATGTGTTTGGACAGACGCCTTCCCCTCGAAGGATGGGGGAGGAACTGCTCAGACCAGAGCCCCCCCCACCGCCATTACCTACTTCAGGGTGAGTGTGAGCTGGTTTCTCCTGCCCACCTCCACCTGGTCATCTTCCACCCCCCATTCCTTACCCACCCTCCGCCCCTTCCATCAACCCAAATGACAGGGCTTGTCTGGACATGCTGCAGCATCCCTTCGGGAGAGTTCTGGTCTTGGCATCAGTAGGGTGTGGTCACAGGGTTGAGGGTGGGGCTTACCTGCCCAGGTACCCTGCCAGGAGCACGAGGGAGCCTCTCCACCCAGCCCAGAGCTCTCAGAAGGCCCCCAGGGTGATGGGAAGTGGACACACACGGGCAAGGGGTGGGGGGACGTGGTGTGTCCGAGTGAGTGGTCACCTCAGTTACACTTAGAGTGGAGAGCTCTCCACATCCCTGTGATCCTGGCTTTGGGGGTGGTTCCAGGGTTTACCCAGAGACCTCGTATCCAGCCTCCTTTCCTCCCCTGACCCAACCTCCCTGCTAAGCAGGACCCTGAAGCCTGATTTCCCTGGGCCACCAGGCCTGGGGCTCCTCTTCCCAGTCTCCTGCCCCCAATCTCCTGCCTTAGCAGCCTAGTGAGCGGGGGGGAGCCCCCTCCCACAAGCTCTCCAGGGGGCACATCCTGGAGACTGGAAGCAAAATCTCAGGCCTGTGAACTGTGTGCCTGGAGCCACATACCCTACCCCAACCTGTGTGCCTCGCAGGAAGCTGCAGACAGACAGACAGACAAGCTCCTGCGGTCAGCCTGCCTGAGAGAGCACACTCTAAACTGTAGCAGCTGGTATTCCAGGTACCAGAGTCGGCCTGGACGCCCGTCTGTGCCTCTTCTTCTCTTGTCTTTCTTCCCCTGCCCCCTCTTCCCTCCTCCTCCCCCTCTCCCTTCCTTCCTTCCTCCTCAAGTCTGGCTTTCTTTCTGTCTGTCTTTCTTCCTTCTCCATCTTCTTTGGGTTGGCCCGACTTGCTCCGAAGGGCTTGCAACATCTCCGGAGTGCCCCCCTCCCCGCCCCCAGTCCCTGCTGCCCTCCCTCCCTCTCTCTCTTTCTCTCTGGTTCCGTCCTTTGGTCTCTCTTCTTGATGTGGCCGCCTGTGCAGGGGAGCAGAGTGTTCCAGAGGAGGCTGGCCCGGTGGTAGGCAGGATGGGAGGTGGTTGGAGAGGAGGGAGCCCAGCGCCCTTCCCCTGCCCCATGCACTCCCACCCTCTCTGGTACCTGGAAGTACAGCTTCTCCTCCCACTGGCCCCTGGTCCTGGCGGGCGGAGAAGGTGGAGGAGAGCTCTAGCTAGGACGCCGGGCCTGGCGCGCCCACGGGACCCCGTGCCTCTGTCTGTGCAGGAGATGCTGTGCGCCACAGCCCTGTCGTCTGTGCTTTGTGCAGCGCTCATCTGCCTCGTCCATCGTGCCGTCTGGTTCTCTGTCTCTCTCCTCTCCTTCCCCTCACCCCATTCTCTGGCCTCGCTTGTGGTTCTCTGGCCCCTGTGCTCCTCCCCTCCTCCCCTCTGGGTGTGCGTGGGTGGTTCCCCCACGGCCCGTGTTGATAACTGCTTTGTTTCTGATTGATCTCAGCTATCTGGGCAGTGTTGTCGAGACAAGCCTCTCCTCAGCTCAATAGGTAAGGGAGCTCCGCGGCCGGGGCGGGGCGGGGGGTGGACAGGCGGACGGGGCTTTGGCAGGGCCATTGCTTCCTTTACAGGGGAATCCAAACCATGTCCCCTCATCCCCTCTGTGGGCAGCAGCCTTCGCTGCTCCATATGCCACGGCTTCTGGGTTCCCCACATCATGCTGCTCCAACAGCCTCACCAGGCCACGCTCGGGCACCGCCTAGCTGAAGCTTCCGACCCCCACCCCACATGCCAAGCCTCTCCCAGAGCCTCCCTGCAGTTTTCCTCACTCAGACACTTGCTGCCAACACACCCAGGGCCTCTCACAGAAGCCCCCTGGGACGCTGCATGCACCCCAAGGGGCCTAGAATGCCTACGATCCGCTTTGCATCTCTGCACCTCTGGAAACATCAGGGCCACACTCAGATCCAGAATCCCCCCCCTTCCCCTGCCCTTTGCCATATTTTCCCAGCAGCCTCCAGCATAGTGCCCCCCCACTTCCATCCTAGCCCCCCAGAGACTCAGATCTTCCTCTGGGGTTGCTGGTCCCTCACAGTCTTCTTGGGATCTTTCTAATATTCTCAAGGAGCACAGGGTTGGGGTGTGGCCCAGCTCCTCCCCTCACCAGCTGGGTCATCCTCAGGACCAGGTCACCTGTAGTTCTATGAGGGCAAGGGCAGGGGAATGTCCCCACTTCCCATGTCCCTTGCCTTCAGTAGCCTGTTCTTGGTTGTAACAGGACTGAGATGTGGACCTCGCCCTCAGGTTCAAATTGCTTTCAAGATCCCTGTAGTAGCCACTCCTGATCTCCTTGGGTCACAGCTCTAGGGTCTTGGCAGGAGTTCCCCAGGGGGAGAGGACAGGCTTCCCCCAGGTGGGAGGAAGTTGAGCGGTGAAGCACTGTCTACTTCCTCTGCTCTCCACCGAGGCTGGTCCTCTTCTGGCATTCTTCCAGGTGGAGGTCTTGGGAACTTGGCCATTTTAGAGGGGTAGCAAGTCTCTTATAGAGGCTTAGGGTCACCTGAGACTCACTGTCTCTCATGGTGACTAAGATGCTTCTTTTTGCCATGGACGTACTTGCCTGCACCTCTGAGAACAAGCAGTGTGGGAGCAGGAGAGCCTCCTGGTTTCTCTAGGTGAGAAACATCTGCATCCCTCGCCCACCTAGAAATGTCAAGGGTGGCTGATGATCCTAACTCAGGACTATAAGTCTTCAGTCCGAAGAGTGGCTTCCCATAAGGAGGACTGGACTGCTTTGCCATTTCTTTATGATCTGCAGCTATAAACTTGTTAACAGCCAAGAGGCCCTGGGATTGTGTCTGAGGCTGGTTGGGTGCCACACTGTGGCCATTAGCACTGGAGAGAGAAGGGAGGGTGTCAGGAAGGAATTATGAGCCTACCTTCATGAGGGGCCTCCTGGGGCCTGCTGGATGGATGCCCCAGAGTGACAATGACTGGACCATCCTCCACCATCCTCCACCTTCCCTGCTCTCCTTCCCTGAAGCCCAGTTATGACCCCTCTGTCACCAGAGAGGTGATAGCTGAAGGACCAGCTGTCACTCCACTCCTGGAAAGTGCCTGGACCCCATTCCCCATTGTTACCGCCACTCCCCTCACCCAGTTGTTGACCCCTCTCTCCACAACATCCTCACTGCGCCAGATCTGAGAGCTGAGCTGTCATACTGTCCCTGCTGTGGCAAACCCAGAAACCAAGGGCAGCGCTGAGGGCAAATTGGTTCCTTGGGGGCCTGGCCAGCATCCCCAGCCTAGGAGAATAACGTGCTCCCCGCAGCCTCGGAGTTAGATCTTGATGCTGCTGGGCAGCAAGAGCCACTGCTCACTCCTGCTTGCTGAGAGCCTCCCCCGGGCGCGGTAGCTGCTGGGGCCATTGGGAGGCGTCAGGCTCCTCTTCAGACGCTGTCTTCATGCTGCGCCTTTGCATGTGTCTCCACTCGGTCTTGCTTGGAGAAGATGTGACACGTCTTGTCTACGTTCGTTCTTGCTCTGTTCCTGTTTCCTTCAGTCTCTCTCCTGTTCCTTCTCCCCCCTGTACCTGCAGTGGTCTTCCCCCGCCCCTTCCTTTCTCTCTCCCCTTTTTCTCCTCTTCCCAACTCCCATCTCAGAGCGGGGAGTTGTATTGCGTGGACCTGCCATTTCTGGGGCCGGCTGGGAGGCCGGCGGTTTTCTCGGTTTCCTGTCTCATACCAGTTAACAGCTCTCTTCTCACCTCCCCCTCGAACCCCCCTCCTGTTAGTGCCGACTTTGGCCTCTCTGATCAGGTGGGTCTGGGAGGGTGGATGGACACCCCCCCCTTTTACTGGTGGACCGTAGGAAGGAGCTCCCATTCGGAAACACGTCTCTCCCAAGCCCTGAGGCCAAACACTGGGTTTGTCCCCTGACCCCACCGGAGAAAGCTGTCATCTGTCATTACAGCTGGGTGGGAGCTGACCTCTGCAATCCTGGCTTTCTGTTTTATAAGTGGAGAATGGCGGGGCGGGGACCTTTTTCCCGGCCATGCCTCATACACAAGTGGATTTCCTCGTCCCCCTTCCATGGTCTAAGGTCAGATGAGCAGAGTCTGCTGTCAGGAGGTTATGAAGAGGAGGACAACTCTCCTTAAATCACAGGGGCAGCCACCAACTGTTGGAGTGGTCAGCCCTTGGGCAGTGAGGGCAGGAACTGTCCAGTGGATTCTGACTTTTCTGACCTGTGGTTTGCCGACTTTTTGGACCTTTTTGTCTGTGTCTTTTCTCCACTATTCTGGGTAAGCACAGAGCTAAGCAGCCAAGGCCCCGGGCTAAATGGTTGTGATTTGGGTTTTGTATGGATTTTATGAAAACAGAGAGAGAGAGAGAGAGAGAGAGAGTAAATTCCAGGCAGTTTTTGGTAGTTCTGAACCACAGAGAAACATCACTGGGACAGAGAACTGGGGTTTAGGGGGAACTCCATATGGCATGGAAGATCCAGAAAAACCTCTAGGCTTTTAGGCCTCATACTCTTACTTCCTGTGAGGAGGAGGGCCCCAGAGTTTGCTGGATTCCTGTATGTTTTAGAAGAATTGAATTGGACTGGGAAGAGAACGGTGACCTCCATTTCTTAGAAAGCCCAGGGTTGGATGCTGTTCTAACAGAGTAACCTACTGGTCAACCTCAGATTCACTTACCAGCTTTATTCCAGGGATAGGATGAGGTTGCTTAACCCAATTTTCCACTGTCTGACAGGGAGCATCACCAAAAGCTTCATTATCTGATAGGTCCCCTGTGGGCTTGATATTGACTGCAGACAAGGTCACCCTTCCTAGAAAAGAGAGACAATTTGATTCCAAAGGGCTTTACATGCTACAGGTAAAGTCTGTTGGGCCACATTTCACATATGTCTTTTCTGTATAATTTGTTAAAAATAAAGATCCATTTTTGCCCCCTCTTCCCCACTTCACCCTATCCTTCCAGACACTTGCTTTTGTTTTTCCCTCCTGCATCGGTAGAGTGTCTTGGTGCCTCCAGGAGCCTTCTGTCTTGTTCCTGTGTTTGAGCACTGAGCTCAAAGTGAAAACAGGTGGACAGCAGGTGTCCTGGAAGGGCTGGAGCTTGGCTCTTTCACAAGGGAAAACTGGCTTATCCTCCTCAGTGGATCATTACTGTTTGGGAATTTTTGCCTGAAGATATAACTTCAGCCAGCTTTTCCCCATCCCTGGTCTGTCTTACTCTGGCCGTGCCACTGAAGCAGAGAATGTCAGCGACTACGGCAGCAGGGTGAAGTGACTACCGCTCAGGTGAAGTGTGGGAGCACTGTTTTCTTCTAGATAGCTTCTGGGCCTGTTTCCTTTAGGAGGAAGTTGGAAGAGCAGTTTAGCCTAATGTTGAGAGTCTTGGCTCTGTCACATAATAACTGGATTAGTAGACAAGCTGCTTAACCCTACGCATTCAGTTTCTCCCTCTGAGAAACAGGATCAGTCTAGTATTTACTTCTTAGGGTTGTTGTAAGGATGAACACAAACTATTGTAGAGAACATAGACCAGTGCTTGGCATGGTAAGTGGTAAATCAATGCTGAGTGACAGAAATGATAAAGGTAATGGTATGTTAATTTTAGTAATAATATCCTTGGAAGTTTCACCTGGCTTGGAGAAACCCTAGGAATGTTCTGGGGCACTCTAAGCCAGTTTCTCTCATGCCCTCCTGGATCACCCTGGGTTTTGTGGTTTAAACACTGCGCCCTGGGGCCACTTCCTTGTCATATGCCTCCTCGGACCATGCGTCGCTCACCTTGTGTGGTCTTTTTGAAGAGGCTGGCCAGGACCAGGAGACAGGTAAACTGAACGGCTGATTCATACCTTTGATTTTCCTTTTAGGTAGCTGAAGAAGCCCTAGTCAAGGATGAGAAGGGGGTGAGGACATCCCGCTAGCATGGCAGAGTCATGCTCCCTCATACCCTAGCCATCTCCACCCTTTGCCCGCCTTCCAGATTCCTTTGCAGCCGCCGCCACTGCTGTGTAGGATCTCTGTGGGTAGAGTCTGAAGGAGGAGGGGACGGGGAATTTGCAGGTTGCGTCTTTGGGGGTGGAAGACCTGACTTCTCATGGTGCGTTGGACTTCTGTCTGAGACCATGTGTTGCCCGTGTGTGTGTGTGTGTGTGTGTGTGTGTGTGTGTGTGTGTGTGTGTAGGTGGGGCCCTTGAGCTCCATGCTGTCAGGGGGATATGGAAAATCTAGAAGCTGTCTCTGACCTGAACTTTGGAGGAGCTTCTTGATACTTTATTTACTAAGAGGCTATGGAATGATGACATCCATTAAAGAAGATGGAGGTTGCTTCATTGCCAGTTAATGCAGGAAACCTGAGAGACCAGAGGCTTATCAACAATTAGTCTGTAAGTTTTTTCTTCCTTCATCCCCACAAGTATGACCTGGGGAGATGGGGCTGCAGACCCCCCATCCCTCTGTCATTGTTGTGCTGCTTTGGATTGCTTGCTCACTACTGGGCACTTCTTTTCCCCTCACAGGGTTGGCTGTCCTCCTTTTAATCAGGAGTTACCCAAAACCAATGTGATGGAGTTGGAAGAGGGAGATGTGGGGACTGAGGAAGCGTGTGATTCACCTCAGTGCACTATGGCCCTAGAATGTCCCTACTCCCCTGATGGTATGCGAGTGCCAGCCCTGGCGGGAAGGAAAGAGCAACTCCTCCCTCTCTGCCTTTATTCCTCAGGCTCCAAGTTTGGCTTACTTTGAGAAGAAATGACATTGATAACATGTCTTCTAGATTTTCTTTTATGACTCTTGAAAAATTCTCTCCAATATGCACCGGTTGTCACAGCCAGTTCATCCCCTCAGCTCCCTCTGGTCCCCTTTGTCACAGGGGCTGCTCAGGCTCCAGGGGAACTGTGGGCTCTGTTCTAACCTCATGGTTGATCCATTAGGCACATGACAGCATCCGCCCCGCAGCTGGGGGAGAAGGAGAGACCGACATACGTGGCGTCTCTCCCAACCCGTTTCTCTACTGAATCTCAAGATGTAGAGATTCACTTGGGCACTTGCTCCCGAAGGCAAGGGCTTGGCAAGGCTGCCAGATTTGGACACTAAGCATCGTAATCTACTTCCACCTTCTTTTATTCTCATGCATGACTGATGACATCTGAGCCTAGTCTGCAGAGGTCCAGGGAGACCCCCCCCCTGCTGAAATGTGGGTAGATGACAAGTATTTGTTGCTGTTAGCTGCTGGGGTTCTGCCTCACTCTGGTGGACGGAGGGGAAGAAGCCCAGTGAAGCTGGGTTTTATATACCCTCCCCCTCACTGGATATTGGGTTTCTCATTTGGCCCTGGCCTTCTCTCTTCTGGAGGTGGACAGTTCACTGGGATGGGGTTCCTCACCTCCTGCTTTAACCCACCCTTTTACTTTTCACTTAAAGGTCGTGATGATTTCTAACAACTTTGGGCAGTGAAGCTGCTTTCTTCTCTGACCTTCCTCCTCCCGGTTTGAGTGGCATGTGATGAGGCTCACTATTAAAGTCTGTCTCTCCCTTTCTTAGGTCTCCTGGTTGCTCTACAGATTGGTTTCCATCTGAGGCAGGCCTCCCACTGCTGGAGTTTTCTACCGGCCTTTCTCTCTTCCAGGAGCAATCAAGAGGCAGGTGTCAAGGAACCACTGTGGACACCTGGGACTCTGTCCTCCTGTGGGTCGGCTGTATGGTTTTCTTCCAGCCCCTCTTCAGAAGCTCCCTCTTCTGGGAGCTGACCTGTGCCTCTCTAATTGTCCCTTCCAGAACACATCCACCTGCACCCGAGAATGCTGCTGTACCTGAGAGGCTGGAGGCTCTGAAATACCAACGGATAAAGAAGCCCAAAAAGTCATCCAAGGGCTCTTCGAAGTCAAAGAAACGATCCGGTAAATGGCAGATCCTCTCTTTTCCCCTCTCTCTGCCGTTATTATGGGGTTGTTTGGCTCAGGATCCCATCCTTGGATTTTCTCTAGAATTAAATCCACCGGCTTATGTTATTGTCTCTTTTTAATATTAATTACCAAGTAATACATAAATATAATTTTCATGTAAAAATAAGAAAGATAAAGTCTCTGATTGTCCCCCCAATTGTTTCCTCTCTCCTGGGATCCATCCTTCTTGGTAGTATGCATGCTTTCAGAGCCTTTCTGGGCATACGCCTCTCGAAAATACATTGTATTGTTTTAATGCATTTTTAAATAACATAAGTAGTATCTTATTTTTTTTCATTCTGCCATATGCCTTTTGGAACTATCCCTATTTCCTTATATTTTTCTCCTCTATTATTTCAGACCTTCTAGTTGGACGTGGGAATTATGGGGTCCTACTCAGTGCTTAGGGGACATCATGGCATGGACCCAGCCTCTGCAGGATGACCAAACTTTTCTCAGTGGGATAGAATGAAATCTCCTTATCATAGAAAGGATGTTTCTATTGAAATATATCTGATATTTATATCCAACAGTGATCAGTAGCTGCTAAGATAGTGTAAAAATGATTCAGCCCTTTTTCACACTTGGAAAATTCTTTAGTATTTATCATGTACTCTTTTTTTTTTTTTTTTTTTTACCAGTGGTTTTTAGGAATCTTGTCACAGGCTGTCAAAAAAAGACAGCTGAACAGTTTCCTTGCAGATCTTTAATAACCACTGGAGAGTAACTTTCTTTAGAGACTGGGTTATGGAAAAGTGTTCTACAGAGGCCCCTGGAATCTTCAGAAGACAGTGAGCACTGTTTCTCACTTAGCCTTTGGGTGGTGCTATTATCCTATTTGTTTATAGAGGGGAGTGCTGAGGCAGAAAAGAGGAAGATGATTTTTTTAGGGTTTGGTTGAGAAATTGGAGCCCAAAGCTGAATGTTCAACCCCCTCAAGCCCATTGCAGTTGAAGAACCAATATACCGACCTACCTACATATCTATGTTTTGTTTTGTTTTAACAAAAAGAGCCACCTCAGATGCCTATACTCCCTCTTATTCTGTCATGCCATCCTGTTCCTTGTAATATGTTGATGGCTCTCAAATGTCTGTTTTTAGCCCCGGTCTCTTCCATGAGCTCGAGTCTCATATTTCCAGTTGCCTGCTGAACACGCACTTAGATGTTTTGTAAGCCTTTGAAAAGTCCAAAATAGACTTATTGATTATCCTCTCCAAATCTGCCTCTCCTCACTTCCTCCCCAGCTTCTTAAATAGCACTACTAACTACCTCGCTGCTCGGGCTACTTCCGCCTTGCTTCTTCTCTTGCTGTCACGTGTCCCGTCCAATCCATTTGGTAAGGTCTTTGGGCCCAACTTTTACAGCAGATCCTAAATCTGACCACTCTTATTTTATTTTATTTTTTTAAAAGATTTTATTTATTTATTCATTTGACAGAGAGACACACAGCGAGTGAGGGAACACAAGCAGGGGGAGTGGGAGAGGGAGAAGCAGGCTCTCCGCCGAGCAGGGAGCCCGATGCGGGGCTCGATCCCAGGACCCTGGGATCATGACCTGAGCCGAAGGCAGACACTTAACGACTGAGCCACACGGGCTCCCCAAATCTGACCACTCTTGCCCACCTCATTACTGAAGCCCCCAAAGCAGGCAGCCAGCAATCATGGCAAGCCCCATTTCTGCTCTGGACGGGAGAGGGTAGAGAGACGAACGGTGAGTTCGTCTGTGTTACTGTGATTCCCACCCTGATTAGTGCAGTTGCCTCCTAACTGGTTGTCCTGCTCCGTACTTGCTCCTTCTACAGTATATTCTACACTCAGCAACTCGAGTGATCTTTATAAAATGTAACAGCATGGTCTTTCGTTCATGGCAACGTGCACATACACACATCTGATGAAAACCTTCCGGAAGCTTCCCACTGCAACCAGAGCAGATTTCAAACTCCTTATGATACCCTTCTCCGTCTTTCCTGCCTCACTGTCCTCTGCTTGCTCTGCTTCAGCTATGGTAGCCTTCCTTCTTTCTCTGAAACGTTTTACGTTGGCTCTTAAGCCATGGGTTTCACTTTTGCCCCTCCTTCTGTTGGGAACACTTCTCCCCCAAAGCTTCAGAAGTCTCATCATCGTTCAAGACTCACACGTGAAAGTAGAACTGTGCTTTAGTCCTTTGCTCTCACATGGTCCTGTTTTTCTTCTTTCTTTGTAGGGCTTTCAGTATCTGGAAATTTCATTTCTGTATTTTTTATTTTTTTAAAGATTTTATTTACTTGAGAGAGAGAGAGAATGAGAGATAGAGAGCATAAGAAGGAAGAGGGTCAGAGGGAGAGGCAGACTCCCCGCTGAGCAGGGAGCCCGATGCGGGACTCCATCCCGGGACTCCAGGATCATGACCTGAGCCGAAGGCAGTCGCCCAACCAACTGAGCCACCCAGCCGCTCCACATTTCTGTATTTTTTAAGTCCTTAATGTTTATCTCTTCCTCCTCACCCCACACTAAAGCATAGTTTCTAGAAACCCAGCACTTCACTGCCGTATCTGCCGAAGAGCCGTGAGACAGAGGAGTGGCCCTGGCAGTGTAGGAAGGGCCACGCCTGGCTCTATGGCAAGGATGGAAATCTTGGGTAAAGTCCATCACTGCTGGGGGAGAAGGGGGGTGAAGGAAACGTACTGAGTTCCAACCCATTCTTAGAAGCCCTGATCCCCAACACCTGGAATGATGCTTGGTGCCCGGGAGGCATTAGAAGAAATACTGATAGTACTCTAATAAAAATTAAAATTCTAGAAACATTAGGTAACAGATTTAAATAAAAAATACTTAATATTAAATAAAGGATAAAAAAGAAATGCCGATGGACTAGACCCATCCTGCTTTCTTGGCTCTCGGTATGAGCAGGGGAGCAGACGCGGGTCATTGGTGCTCAGCACAGCTGGCTCCAGAACGGGAGGCCCTTTGGCCACAGGGCTCCCAGCCCCGGCTGGGCCAAAGGGACTGATGGGTCACTGGGGTGGTGAGGATGGGGCTTCTCTGCTGCAGTTGCCTCATTTTCATGCCAGGGTATATGTCTCAGCAGATGAAAAAGGTGAGCGTGTGAGGTTACCACCTTCCCTTTCACCCACTTTATTTTCTTCCCATTTGTTTGGTGTGCCTGTTCCCTTCTCCCTAGACGGTTCTGCCTCCCAGGCTCAGCAGCTTCCAGACTCCCAGGTTCTGTGGCCCGATGAAGCCGTCTGCCTCCGAAAGAAGAAGAGACATTCTCGGCCTGACCCCTTTGCCCGCCTCTCAGACCTGTGCCACCGCCAGCTTCCGGAAGACCAGACGGCGATCCTCAACAGCGTGGATCACGACGACCCCGGCCACGCCACCTTGCTGTGACGCGGCGCAACTCTAAGTGGTCCCAGAGGGCTCTGGGCTGAGGGGCAGGGGAGGGAGGATGAGGGTGTGCCAGCAGAGGGGCAGTTTCGCGGGCTGCTCTGATCTTTGTTCTGCTCATTCTCTCTCTAGCGAGAGTGCAGCCTCCGAATCCTGGCCAGCGTGTCTCGCTTTGGGGACAGCGGGCCGGGGGCAGACCTGTAGGTAGAGATCAGGAAGTGAACTGGGGACAGGGAGAGATCTGCCTCCTCCCCTCTTCACTGGCTTGGTTTTTTCTGACCTCTTCAAATACCTTTGGAAGTGAAGAAGGGGAAAGCAATGGCTTTCAAGTCCTGGAAGGGGGCTGGACTGCCCATCCCATCTTCCAAATCTGCATATATATAGATATAGATACAAATGCATATGTATGTAGTTTGTGGGTTTCTCTATGTATATATATATGTACATTGAAGCAAAGTGCTGTTTATTTCTGTGGTCAGTGAAGGAAGGAGGACGAGGGCAGCCGACTTGAGGGGTTTGTAAGGAGGACCGGCAGAGAGCCGGCTGGGCGTCCTGATGTCTGTCCTGGGTGTTATTCCTCCTGAAACACGATTCATGCCTTCCCGGCTGAACTCACCGTTCGTCTCTCTACCCTCTCCCGTCCAGAGCAGAAATGGGGCTTGCCATGACTGCTGGCTGCCTGCTTTGGGGGGTTCAGTAATGAGTTACCACAGAACTAAACACAAGCCTTTATTTCTTGGTTCCTGGGTGAAGAGAGGGTGGCCAGCAAAGGGCCAGACTGGTATCTTTCTTTCTTCTACAGTTTGGCTCATGCTACGGCAGTCGAAGCTGCTTAGCAGTGGGGCCAAGAGGCAGGTCCTGATGCACAAACTCGAGCTCATCCGTCAGTAGTCCCTCTTAGTCCAGCCAGAGCCGGGAGCCCTGCGGCCAAAGGGCCTCCCATTCTGGAGCCATCTGTGCTGAGCACCAAGCTGCTGCGGCTCTATTTATATCCTGCCTCTGGCTCGGCACCCTCCAGAGGACTGTTCCAAAGGCACTGATTGGATTCCTCCTTTCCTTTTGTGGGAGCTAATTCCCCAGATTGATTAATTGCCACTTGTGGGGAGCCCGCCTGCGGCTGGCTCCTTTCCATCTCTCCACGTGTTGCCTGCAGACTCTTCTTTGCCCTGGGCCCTCCTCCATCCCGAGGACCCAAGCTCCAACAGGATGGGATCAGATGAAGCAAGGGTGCCCCAGGCTTCCAGGCTCTGGGGGCCCTCTGGATCCCCTCTGTCCTCAGTTTTATTTATGTGGAACTGGCTGAGGCGGGGAGGTGGTGAAGGTAGAAGGGGTGGTAGGTGAGGGCCTGGGCTCTGATCCTTTTTCTGCCAAAATCTTGTCCTAATTCGAACTCTTAGCACCCAGAAGCTTCTGTGAGGTTGTCTTCCAGTGACTAAAGATGCATCTCTCTCTTCCAGTGAGATAATGATGCTGCCCAAGAGCAGAGCAGAAGGTCCTGAAGACGAATGGGGGTGCCCCTGCTCTTTCCCCTCTTCTTCTGCAGGAGCCTACCCTCTGGCTGCCTGGGAGGAAAGGTGGCTATCAGGTTCCATGAAGTATTTCCTTCTTGGTGCTGTTGTCTTGGCGGGTTTGGGGACATCTACCTCTCCCCAGTTGCCTGCTTGGATGTTGGCCAAGTCAAAGCACTAGAGGCATCTGCTGGTCTCACTGCAGTTGCTAGTGGCTTAGCCCTGATGACCTCGGCAGGGGGAGGCTCTGAGAGCTGGGGAGCTGCTCCTTGCTGGGAGCTTCCATCTTAGGGAGTGGATTCTTTTCTGCCACACAAGCCCTGGTGCCTCCTTTCTCTCGCCTAATGAGGGGGTACCGACTCGGCTGTTGGGGTTCTGTCACATGTCACACAACCAGAGTTCATTTCTGAGGGCGATGAGTCATTGTGACCCAGGGGGGAAGGGGCAGTTTCTGGCCCTCATCTTGCTGACTGCTCCATTCTTCTGGGCTGGGCCTGCGCCCTTGGGGTGGAGCCTGGACCTTCGGGCTAACACCCTTCTCTGGGCATCCAAGAGCCCCCACTTTACCACCAGGCGGCAGCCAGCAAAATGGAAAAGCAGAGGTTGGGCAACTCCATCTGGTTTCCGAGGCAGCACTACCTCTGCCACCATGTCCCACAAGTGACTCGCTGAGTACCTCTCCTGGGGCATTTGGGGTCTCACACCAGGTCAGTTTGTAGCCCCTGTGGGTGTGTGGTTTGCCGAGCAGGGCGGATCCTGGCTGAAATGTGAATGTGGGATGCCAGGGCTATAGGACTTCAGGGTGAATTGGGCCAATCTTTCTGAGCCTTGTGCTGGGAGTTCCAGGTGCTGAGCTTAGCAAAGAAGAGGAGAAGATGAGGTGGAAGGCTTTGCCTCTTTAGAATGTCCTACAAGGCCGAGAGCCAACCTCTGGGCTGAGGTGCCTCAGACTATGGCTGTGCTTTCCCGAGGGGCCCACCAGCAAGCTCTCACCAGGGCTAACAAAGGTGCTGACTCCTGTCTCCTCTTCCTCTGGCAGTGCCCCTTACCTCAGCACATCAGACCAAATGGTGGGAGCTGTGCTTTTTGCTGGCCACTGAGTGGCAGCTGTGCTGGTGCGTCCCCAAGGCTAGGGAAAGGACACACAGCCGAAGTATCTCTCAGCGGCCTCACACTCACTTCTCTCAAAATGGCCTCCTTCTTGCGACAGTGTCCTTGAAGACCGGCAGCCTTTCTGCACCCCCGGCAGCTATTTCAGTCCTTCCTTGAAGGGCTGCGGTGGAAATTGGCAGAATATAGTGCCCTCTGTCCACGTGATGGAGGGTAAAGATGTTGCAGGAACATGCTTCTGTGCTAGGTGCGTGCACGTGTGTGAGGGTGTGGTTGTGCATGTGTGTGTGATGGGGGTGTAGCCATTTCTAGGGAACAAATGTCCTTTATACTCTGCCCTTGAACAATTGCAGTGTGCACTCTTGAGCTTCCTACGACTTTTGCGCTCCACTCTGTGGGTGATCAAATGTCTTCCAGACTTCCTCTTTTATGGTCTGGTACCTTTGCAGTAGAAGCAGCTCAGATAAAAACCTATTCCTGTGTCTCAGACTTTTGCCTGCCCCTTCATTCTGCACCCTGACCAGAAACTGTGACTGTTTCAGGGTTAGGCGATTTGCGGACTGGGACAAGGGTAACGTGATTCTCGAAGGAGCCTGAAGCTGAAAGTATGTAGGAGGGTCTGAGACTGCAATTGTTTGGGGAATAAATGAGCAATAAGGAGAAGGCGAATCCTGTTTCTTGATTGCTGGCTGACCACACCGAGTGGGTTTCATGGCTTGCGTGGGGCCATGTGTGTGGATCGTCGTTTGTGGCCAAGTTCAGCACGTGCTGGTGAGCCCCACCACTCTATCTCCCTGCCTGCCTCCCTAGCTTCTTTCCTTGCGAGATGGGGGGCGGAGTAGGAGAGACCTTTGGAGATTCCACTTTCTCTATAGGAAGGATGCTTCATCCCACAGGGCTGGTGGGGTCTGTGCCCCACTTTGAAGAGCCTGTGTCCAGTGATCATGGTCTTGGGGGCATCTCAAGCAGGGGTGGATTGGGGTGAGTAATTAATATTTTTCAATGCTCTCTGTCTTTATTTTGATTTGGGATCTAAAATATTTAGGGTTGTACTGATTCCAGTTGTTTTCCTGTGCCTTTTTTTATGCAGAGGAAACTGGGTAGGGTTCAGATATGGAATTTCCTGACTAGTTTGGTTTTTGTTTTATCTTGTTTGGTTTTTTGCTGAGTTGACAAAACAGTAGCTTCAAGGGAGAAACAGACTTCACAAAGCGTCAGGGCGACTTTGCCACTCCCCGGGATTAGAATCCAGGGCTGAGGTACGTGTGGCTGCAGCTGTTTCTTCCAGTTTTGTTAGAAAAGCCTTCTGGGGGGTTGGGGTGGGCTGGGGGGAGAACTGTACATAAAGTACATTTTATTACTATGTAGAAACATAAGAAAAGAGAAGCTAACGGTTAATCTTGGGCTTGCTTTGCTTGCATGTAAAGGAGCTTTGGGTGCCATCACAGGGATTTCTGGGGAGTAGTAGGAAGGAGTCAAAGGGGAGAGATGGGTGGGAGCAAGGGGCGGCTCCCCTGAGTGCATCCCCACTGCTCCCCCTGGGGAAGAGTGCACATTTTCACCAGACCTTATGGGCCAGCTCCGCCTTTGTATCTTCTCCAAAATAAAGGGAGGCAGGCTCCGGCAGTCTGGAGGCTTGGAGCCCCATGGGGCTGTGCTTGTTGTTTTGGGGAGAGGGTCCAGATCTAAACTGAATAAGGGAATTGATCGGGTGGGGTGTTTCAGGAAAGGGAGTTAGAGAGTTGGAGCACAGAAAGGAGGCCAGTTTCTTTTACCTGGTATCTGTAAGGCTGGAAGGGGAATAGGGGGCTAGGTCAATCACGAAGTAGAAAGAAGCTGGGGATCCTGATATATGACAGTAAGGCCAAAGCCAGGGGACATCAAGCCTTACCTTTCTCATTGGGGCATGTGATAACTTAGTTACCCCTAAGGGTGCAGTGTACAAGTTGGGGGGTCATCCCAAGAAAAGAAAGAGGAGCAGTTGCCTGGGGTGGGGCAGGCTGGGGAGTAGTGGCAGTGAAGATCATTTGGGGGACAGGTGTGGGAGGGTGATACAGTCATTGAAAAAAGACTGAGGGGTGGGGTCTTGGCACATAGGCCCAGACTGGATCTTGGAAGAGGTCTTGCTTCTTAGCTGGACTTCCTTGCTTCTTCTAGAATTAGCCTACAACACGAAGTGCCCAAACCCAACATGGTCATATTCTCTGTGATGTCCTTCAGCTTCATCTGTTTGTTTTCAGGGGTTCCTCAGGCCCAAAGCTAGGAGACTTGTCTTGAGATCCCCATCGTATTGCCAGCTCTGTGTCAGTAGAGAAGGAAGATTCATTCTCATGAGCTGTGTGTGTTTGTTTTCATAAGCAGAAGTGGCAGATGGCCCTTTCCCTC